TGTTGCTGGAAAAGGTCTTGCCACATCTAATTCTCACACATTTGAGTACAACTTGATGATTGCATCTACTTCTCCTGCTACCTGTAAGTAAATCTTTGCAAATCATAGAAGGTTATTGAAGGCAAACAGGAGGCAAATGTCTGCCTCAACACTTCATTACCAATGTTATAGCTGTAATAATTTACAAAACATCTTTCATGGCAAGATGATTTCAGGAGTTAGTTATAGGAGATGGATTTAACCTGGTTTGTTTCTTTGTATAAAGAAAAGTAAAATAAAAATGCACAATTTCTTTAATCGTCAGATTTTAGTAGTTCTTACAAACCCATTGAACTCCTGGATTCGCCCCTAAAAATGGTGTTAATATTGGCACTTTGCATTCTTTTTTTTCCCCCAAAGTCACCTTGCTCCATCTTGTAATTGTTTAGAATATAATTATGTAACTGTTGATTCAGGTACTAACATATCTAGTGTATTCTTGTTTGCAGGTAGCTTTGGTGGTTCTTGTACCCTTGTAGTCACTGGTGATGGTTTTGATGATGAATACACTGTGGTAACTATTGATGGCAATAATTGCCCTATTAGTAGTGTTACAGCTACTGACTTACAGTGTGAAATACCTGCCAACAACAATCTTGGTGAGTTATATCTTGCAAGTCAAGTGATAATATTATGATTTACTTGCTCATTCAATTAATTTTTGATTAATTAATATTACTGACAGTTATTTTTATACCATATGATTGTTGTAATTACATATAACAATTTTCAGGTGATATTTCTCATATTGTTTTGTTTCAGCACTTGGTACATATACCTGTGATATACAAGTGTCCATTTCAACAAGTACAGCTGTAGCCATTGAATCTAATGCACTGACCTATGATAGCTCTATCACACCCATTATAACGTCAGTCAGCCCAAGGAGAGGTGGTACAGGTGGTGGAACTCCTATTACAATTACTGGATCTGGATTTCGGTAAGTGTTGTATAATAAATTACTAAATACCTATTAGGTATAATAAATTCCAACAAGAATTTTCTTGGGAATCACAGTACCGGTACACTTGTTTATTCCTATCGATATAGACCAGAAATAACATTGATTGCTGGGTTTACAGTAGATTTCAGTCTCTTTTAAATTAATTCTGATGGTTAAATGATTGAGGATTATTTGTATTGTAGTGATAGTGAGAACACTGTTACCATAGATGGAAGTTTGTGTGTGATATCATCAGAAAGCACCTCTGAGATCATCTGTGAAACTGAACCCAATTCTAGAAGTATTGAAACTAAAGTAAGAGTTTTGGTAAATGGTGACGGGATAGCAACACAGGTAAGTCTTTGTTGTCATGGTGATTACCTCTGCGATATACACTTGTTGATGTGGCATCAATTGCATTTTATGTTTCCTCGCAATGAAATGTCTAATCTATGTGTCATTACCATATTTGAATATAGATCATTTGTTACATTTATATACTTCATACATTAGCTTACATGAAAATTAATAAAGTTGAAATATTTGATGTCAATTTTATTCAGTGTCAACAAATTTTAATTGTCTTTTTATATTACATAGGATGATGCTGATTTTGAATATGTTGATTTGTGGACCAGTCCATGGACTTGGGGAGGAAATCCCTTGCCCATTGAGGGTGACTTTGTTGTCATTCAACAGGGACAGCGCATAGTGTTAGATATTGACACCCCTGTCTTAAAGATGCTAGTAATTCAAGGTAAATGAGCATTTTTAGAATTGACATAGTTAAATTTGATAATGTTCATGAATTATATATCATTATAAGATTATTACAAGTATAACTGAAAGTATACACAAAGACAGTACAGCAGGAGTATCGACCGACATGCAGCGTTATGGCGTTACGGTGACAGATGTATAATAATGTTTTTTTTGTATTTGTACTGTTTTTTTTGACCTTCCTTGATTCCTTAATATCAAAGTCAGTCTATGAGTAAAAACTTATTATCAATATCATGAATGAAAACTAGAGTATATTTATCATGATTATCATGATTTTAATGTAAGCACAATGCTTCATATATTGGGAAATACCAACTGCAAGTGAAAGCGGTCATTGATGGGGCTTGCTGTTATTTTCCTTCTTAATGCTTCAATAAATGACACAAGACACAAGGTTTTGGCAAAAGTGGAAGGGGGAGCGAATTGCTGACGCAGGCGTCGCAGCGAACAGCTCCATGATGCGACTCGCCTGTGAATTGCATCATGACGCTGAGCGCGTGGTACCTGGTTGCAACCTTCCACCAGCAGAGACTGTACAGGCGGGCGTCATGGCTGGCGTCCCCCTGGCGGGAGCCTGCAGATAGACTCACACCCCAGGAGGATGGACAGCGGGGGTACCCGTGTAAGTCTGCTTGGTCTGTGGTGGAAACCC